GAGGGGGGCGGCAGGCGGCGAGCACTGCACTCGCAGCAGGGACGCGGTTTGAAATCCGATCCTAGTTAATTTTTTCCCTCCAGAGCCCGGTGCTCAAACTGTTAGTGGGAGTCTGTGAGCCAAGCTTTCACACAGCACCAAATGTCCCGCACTTCACAACCGACCCAGTGGCGCAGCGAAGCAGTTGTGCCCGTACAGCGCAGCGAAGAAGAGCGGAGCTTCTTCCGTAGGACCCCGAGACCCTCTTACGAGCCAAAACTACATAGGTTCTCCTTTAGATGATACAGTCTAGTGGGGTTTTGATACACTTTTCAGCGGTTTTAAGGACTGGACAGAGTCGGACAGCTCAAGGCTGTGTGTGAATACGGCTTCTTCTCAAACACTTCACTGACTTCACGTCTGTTCACGCCTGGATTTGGAAACTTGAGTGTATTTGGATGATTTGTCCCCTGAATGCGATTCACGAAACATCTGGAAAGGACCTCGCAGACCAAGCTTACTAAAAAAGCCGACAAACATATTTTATTTTTATCTCGAAAAGGATTACTGTGTCAAGGAGGAATTTGGTGAGGAGTTTATTATTATAATTCTTATTAGCCTATTACATTATTATAGGTTATTGTCTTTTACAATTGCCTAGGTAATATAGCCTAATGGAATTTGCTATGAATAGAATCATTCAAAAACGTGTTTTTCAATTGGGCTATTGATTCAATCAGAGCCTCCAGAATGGAAACAAAGTTTTAGTGTAGAAGTCAGCTGCGGTGACATGTGGTGTGTGCCCGTATCGCTTACAGTCGGACAGGTGTTGCGCGGTGTGTGTGTGTGTGTGTGTGAGAGAGTATGAGTAGGCTACCGCGTGCTCGAAAGCTGCTCCACCAGTCGCGAGGAGAAGCCGCACCTGTGCTGAATTAATGTACAATATGGCTCAGTTCAAAATGTTTGCGGTGTATAATTTAGCCTGTTGTGTGGACAGTCATTACTCATTCACAAACTAGCCTTTAATACGTCAGCAGCTGGTCTTTGTCATGTAGGTGTAGGTGTTTAAATGGTGCCGAAACCCACCGTGGGTTGTGAGGTGATGGGAAACATAGTCAAGGGCGCTTATATCAACCGATCTTCCCGGTGAGCGCTCGAGCGCTTTTCGTGGTGCATGAGTTTAACACAAAACTGTTTATAGCTATTCCCTTCAGAGACTGTAGAGCCATATTTATATTTTTACCTATTATTTTTATATTTTCGTTAACTGTGACTGAGTTGGCTTGTCTTTCTGATGAGAGACTAAGCCCTTTACAGCTTGATGTATGACGCATTTTAAAACCAAAATTACATCCATTTCTTCTGCGGCCACCTCAGCAGGGCTTCATTTGTGTTGTTTTTAGCTCACACTGAAGGGAACCTCACCAGTTTTTCCTCCGCCGTACCCACGGACCATCTGAAAGAAACATAGTCAAGGGCGCTTATATCAACCGGTCTTCCCGGTGAGCGCTCGAGCGCTTTTCGTGGTGCATGAGTTTAACACACACCTGTTTATAGCTATTCCCTTCAGAGACTGTAGAGCCATATTTATATTTTTACCTGTTGTAATCTCAATAACTCGTTAACTGTGACTGAGTTGGCTTGTCTTTCTGATGAGAGACTAAGCCCTTTACAGCTTGATGTATGACGCATTTTAAAACCAAAATTACATCCATTTCTTCTGCGGCCACCTCAGCAGGGCTTCATTTGTGTTGTTTTTAGCTCACACTGAAGGGAACCTCACCAGTTTTTCCTCCGCCGTACCCACGGACCATCTGAAACCAATTGTAGCTATCAGAGTGAATTAGAGTCTCTAGAGGTGTTAACGCGGGCTACTGGGGGCAATTAGCCACCTCATGTAGGCTACTAGAGTCATTCAAACCCGACTGGAGTCAGTGGTGAGAACTGACTAGGATGTAAACTGTTAGTTTTTTTTTTGTGCCAATATTATTATATGATATCATTATTTTAAGCAGATCTAGACTATATCGTTTTTTTTTTCTTTGAGTGGCTAACAGCAAGACGTTCCTTGCTGTCAGTTCAGCTTGTCAGATATCCTGAAACTTGGTTGCTGAACTCATGCACTGTATAAAACATTCTAACCTACTAAAATTGAAAAGTTTTCTTGCTGCCTTAATTTTTTTTAAATGGTATAAACATTACTCATTCACTGTGCTTTTTCAGTTCAATTAACAATTTACTGTTGGAGAAAATAATCGGTTGCACTTTATTTTACATTTTGTGTACTTACATATACTTACTGTGTACCTAAGAAAGTTCTGGTAATAACTACATGGGGTAGGGTTAGTACCTAGTTATTACCTGGTTATTGTAATTGCTATAATAATTACATAGTATGTACACGAGGAACAGAACTATAAAATAAAGTGCTACCAAATAATCTCTGAAAACTCAACAGAGTAGAAACGATTGGTTAAAAGGATGAAAACCTTGAAACTATGATGACAATCTCCAACGTTTAGAAATGTCTATGCCTTTTTTGGGGGGTGATAATCATTACTTTTCTAGTCATGTGTCCCTTGCACTTTTCAAACCAGCCCTGGTGGAACTAGTAAAGGTCTCTCCAAGGCATGCACAACTCAAATGTGAGAGGTCGTGTCATCAGGGGAAAAAAAGAGGCTCTTTTCAATTGGAACCTCGACTAATTGTGACCCATAGCGGACTGGTGCCGGCTCAAAATCAATACGCCACTCTGTGGACTGTCGAAAGTTTGAGAGTTGAAGTTCTGAATGTAAGTTATCAAACTCTCTCTCTCTTTCTCTAAAGTTCCTTATGCTTTCTTTAGACCTCATTAGCTACCGGTAAGAGATTAATTTAATATATATTAAAAACCTCAACAAAAAATGTGCACAAGATCATTTTACACACAATGCACAATGCAGTCCAAGGGCTAAAACAGCATGAATGAAAACGAGGCATACAATAAACAATGGACAATGTTACTGCACTGTCTCGCTCTTTCATCCTTCTGTTTTTAATTACCCTTATGCTTTTCTTTTATTATTAATGTTTTTGTGGACAGTGTCATGCCATACGCTTTATGTAAGCATATGAAACGATGGATTTAATGTTAGAAAGCACAGAAAAGTCACTGACTGAGAAGCTCGGAGAAACCCATAATTTCACAGTGACAAACATCTGTAAATGTGGTTTATAAATTGGTCCTCTTTGATTTGTGTGTGTTTGATGTGTTTCTCCAAGGGGATGTTTAAAAGGGTGGGTTAAGGAGTTTAATTCTCACCTTTATTCAGTTGTCTACACTGAAGCAAAGCACAAGCCTGTAGCCACACACACTCCCACGCACGCGCTGACAGAGCTCACAGAGAGCCGCAGGAGGGCGAGTGAAGTCCTCGGAAGAGGATTACAGCCAAACTCTAATAGAGACACCTCAGACTTTAGGTTTTCATCTGCTGTCTCTCGCTCACTTTCTTTATCTCTCTCTTACTCTGTCTCCCTCTTAATCCCTATTTTCATTGGCAGATTTAGGCTGGCTGGCAGTTGACATGGCTGCACAATTACTGGAGATTACTGACATTTTTGAGTCCCAGATTTGTTGCAAGGTGTGACTAGCGTGTGATAGGATTCTATTAAAACCCTCTTTCACCCAAAACTATTAGACATTACACGCATAAACGCCCAGGATTTGACAGAATATTCTTGCACTGCCTTGTTCATGTCTGTAGTTGTTTTGCTTGCCATTAAAAGAGCATTATACTTCAGTATGTGTCCTATATCACAGTTGACTGAGGGGTTTAAAATTAAGAGACAGAAAGGGAGATACAGACAGTAAAAACATAGTAGCTAATGTTGAATCATTGGCTAGACTGATCATCTTAATATTTCAATAGAGTCCAAATCAAATTCTTCAGTAATCCCATAGATAAACACCGACTCTTCTGAGAGAGTTAGAGTTTTACACACCACACAACAACAGACTGCTGCACATCAGTCATGTCACACTGTCCCAGCTGCCTGTACCCTAAAGTTTCATTTGCACAAAAGTATATACAATAAAGTTTGGGGTCAATTTTTTTAAATAAATTTTAAATTTTATTTAGGATGAATTTTTACAAAAACATCTTATTTTTAAACAAATTATGTTCTTTTGAACTTTCTATTCAAGGAATCCTGAAAACAAATGTTAAGCAGCACAACTGTTTTCAACATATTAAGAAATGTTTCCTGAATAACAAATCAGCATATCAGAATGATTATAAAGGGATCATGTGACGCTGAAGACTGGAGTAATGGCGGCTGAAAATTCCACATCATGTCATTTCCATGTCAGGAATAAATTACATTGTAAAGTGAATGAAAATATTTTACATTATTAATGTTTTTACTGTATTTTTGATCAACTAAATGCAGCCTGGGTGAGCCTAAGAGATTGCTTTCAAAAACTTTTTTTTAAAATCTTTTTGAATGATATGTGTTAAAATGACTCACTATAAATGCATAGATAAGATACAAGCAGGCACAGTTCAGTGTTCAAACTACACAATGTTATTTTAAGTAACAGATATTGTACAATCATCCATTCATTATCGCAAAATAAACCGCAACAGGGTGATCAGGATAGTCTTGTATCACTCCAAAGTGGTTTATTTTGCGATAATGAAGGCTTACTGCACATTATCCCATTTATTACACTGCTTCTCCCCAAATAAATAAATAAATACACATGGAATTTTGATTTGAGTGGAAATTTGATTTGAGTTATGCAGGAGAAAGAGACTGCAGTTAGTCTAGCAGAACTCAAATAAATCGTTGCCTGGTCAAACGGTCAATTATACAGTTTAGTGGTCTTAGACCACACAATGCTGTGATCAACCAATCAGAGTCAAGTACTCCAAAAAGATGCATAATAATATGAGATTAGCCCTCTTCCAAGAATGTATCAGTTTGTTTCTGCTTAAGGCCTCTCCCCAGCTTTTAAGCTTTGTTACTATAAGATAGCATGGCTCCAGAAACATGCTCGAAAAACACACCTACTATACACACTCCAGAAATACGCTCCACAAATATACCCTTCTCTCCTACAACAGCCAGCGCTGATACACTATCAGCCCACAGCACAGTGCACGCTTCTGCTCTGCTGGCCAGAGAAAACACTGAGTTACTCAACACACCAACCCGGCTTCTCTCTTTCTCTCTCTTCAGTATGTGCTGACCAAGAATTTAGCATCTGCTCATCAAGGGGAAAGTAAAACAGCGCCACACTAGCCTCAGGAGAGTGTGTGCGTCTGTTCGAGAATAATGCCACTGTTTAAAGTTAACGCAAACATTTTGTGTGTCTAAACCAGGGCTGTCCTGAAATAACAGGAGTTCAAGTTTAAAGCAACACAGAGTCCTCTCAAATTCTCACTGTCTTTGAGCAAAAACCTCTCAGTGGGGAATCAAACCGTACAGCCTACAGTATATGTGTGTAAAGCTCTTTACATTCCTTTTATTGTGACTAATGTAAACTCTCTTATGTGGCAAGACACAGACACACACACACACACACACACACAAGTCACAGAGTGTGAGGGGAGCATATGTTTTCTTTAGAGAGATAAGTGTGTTTGTGTTAGCTTAGTGAAAGATGTGTTTCAGAGTAGACCGACCAGAGAGAAGAAGAAAAAAAGGAAGAATAAGACGGCAAAAGAGAGTTTACAACAAATCCCAGTCTCGTCTAAACTAGCGCGGGACATATAATGTGAAATCACTCCATTTCATTTGCTCGTGGCAGTTGTGTGTGGTCGTCGCACTTTATTTTTCAATTCACAATATATGCAGAGAGACTGCTGCAGACATTTGCACGTCAGCACAGCATTTCAATAGTGTTTTGAAAAATTTGTCCCATGTCAAAATAACAAAGCAACAGGCCTAAGTTTTATTGAATATCTGTGAGCATTTTTACTTTTCATGCTGTTATATGAAGTGTTTGTTCTGTGTTCCTTCTCTATTAGACCTCTTATGACTGTTGAATATGTTTTTGTGTTTCAGTGTTTGTGTGTGTGGCAGCACTACATTGACAGCATGTGTGGAACGGTGGAGGATGTCTGAATCTGGTTTCCGTGGTGAGGACACTCGTCCCCACGTCACTCGGCCCGGGATGGTCCCGCTCTGTCTCCTTCTGTACCTCGCGGCCCTCATCTTCCCTCCGGTGTACAGTGCCCACCTGCTGTCCCCAGAGCCCACAGGTCAGACATTACACCTCACCTTCTCTGTCTCACGCTCATGAAAACCTGGAAATATCAGGGAGTTTTTACAATGCGTTTTTCACGCCTGGAAGTCATGGAAACTTTGAATATATATATTGTGTATAAACCATTCAAAGGTTTGGGGTAAGTATTTTTTTAATGTTTTTGAAGGAAGGCTTATGCTCACCAAGACTGCATTTAGTTGATGAAAAATACTGTAAAAACATAAATATTGTGAAATAGTATTGTAATTCAGAAATGAGGATGGACACAGTTTTTGTTTTTTTCTAGCTGTATTTACTCAGTGCAAAAGTGAAATATATAACACCAACATGTCAGGAAAAAAAAAACACAGAATCACTGAGTTGGAAAAAGGATAACCCCCTTGTGTCAGTATTTTGTTGAACCACCTTTTGCTTTAATTACAGCCTTTAGTCAGCTGGGATATGTCTCTACTTACTTTACACGTCTAGACTTTGCTATATTTGCCTGTAACTGCTAAAGAGTTGCTGTAGGCCTCTTGGTAGCCTCTCTGACCAGTTTCCTCCTGGCTCTTTCATCCAGTTTGGAGCGACATCCTGATCCAGGGAGGGTCTGTGTTGTGATTATTGTGATTACAAAATGTGATTACAAAATTATTATTTTAAATGGGGGTGATTCATTTCTATACCCACTGTAGATATACCAAGATTGATTTGCGAATATTTTGTTCTAATAAACAGATTCTGTTCATTGAATCTGTCAAAATCACACATTAGTCTGAATCAGAACAATACAGTTATTGGAAATGATTGGAAATTTAATTTCTATAGGGAATATATAGGGAATATACATTTTTGTAGTTATGATTTTGCTCTGAAATATTTTGTTGCTTACATATACATTTTTTCATTTGTAAATGAATCAGTCAATTCTCTTAAATAAATCAGTCAAACTCTGTTCAATAAGTGATTCATTTGAGTTCATCTGAATCTTTGCACCTCCTGTTTTTGAAATCTGTAAACCCTCATCAAATACTTAAAGTTCTAAATTGATTTGGGCTTCACTAACCTCTGTGATGCACACCTTTTCTCAATGCAAGCACTTCTCAAATGTATTTTTTGGACACTTTCAAAAAACAGAGGACTGTGTGTTGCTCACTTGCTGAAAATGAATAGGTTGTCAGTGATTCTGTGTTTTAAGGAGCTTGAGTTGCAGCTCCTGTAGTTTGTACAGTGGCACAAAATGGGTATTGTTGCAATGAACACTTGTGTAGTTGATATTATGTAAACACACTTTGTCCTTGCCATTGATTTATTATCCTGCAGTTGACGGATGAGGCCCTGCAGAGCAGATTATATGACAGCTAAGCGCGCGCGTGTGTGTGTGTGTGTGTGTGTGTGTGTGTGTGTGGACTGAAAAATAGCTTATCACTCCACACAGATAGGTGTCTGAATTTTCTGCATATGTGGGCAGGGATGAGAGCCCACGGTGTTGATCATTATCAGTTGTTTGTTAAAGACAGGTTTCTTGGCTGAGTTCACCTGAGTCTCTGTTGTGTTTGGATTCTAGATGGCTATACTCAACATGTTACAGTCACTTAGAAAATACAAATGAGCTTGATGCTTTCTTGGCCCATTTCTCCACTCTGTGAGTGTGTGTTGGGAGAGATCATCTGATTGCTGGTGGATCTGATTTCTCATACTGATAGCAGGTAAAAAATAGGAGATGGCGATATAATTACAGTTAATGTTCACACATGGTCCAAAGGAGAGAATGCAGAAAGTCTTCAGCAAAACCACAGCATAAACAAAGAGGGATTGTTATGAGACAAGAACCTGCAAACACTTCACCACCCAGCTCCTTTTCACTTCTAATCCTAACCACCAAATCCCCTGTTTTTCTCTCTCTTTCTTTCTATTCCTCTATTCATCTTTTTAGGTCTGTGTATCCAGTGACAGTAAGTTTAAATTGATCATTTCAGACAGACAGATTAAAGCAATAAGCCACAAGAAGCTGCACATTACAGTGAAGTTAACGTAAGTAAAATGTGTTCTTAGGCACAGCATGAAGCTGAATATAAAGTGGCTGTTATGATGTATGTGTGTGTATACATACATATATGCACTGTATGTATAATGACAATATGAGGCATAACATGGCTCATCCAATTAGAATTGATAATCAAAAGTTGAACTATCCATTTTATAAGGCAGAATATCATGTCCTAATTCCTTAGTCTTGATACGCAATACAACGTACGTGTGTGTGTGTGTGTGTGTGTGTGTTTATGCAAAACTGGCATTTCTTAAATGTTCATTATGTTTTAAACAGACATTATATTGCAATTCCTTCTTATTACTTACTACTTACGATTATGTACAATTTTAGACCCTTTGCACATTCGTGTGAGTGTTTTTCTTTTGTTCTGATGTTATTAGTTGGGGTTTGTTCACCTCATTAATACTCTTTGAAACTCACTGCAGGACAGCAGATGCGTTATTAATGAGAAAAGAAACACATTCTCCGAATGGTGTCTACAACCACCTGTTCACACACACGGAGAGACTTCCTTATACCAGATACCTGCGCGGTATTGCACACACCTGTACATACAGACAGAGGCAGAGGTGTGTGAAGCACGTACACACTTGCTGGCCTGTCAACTTGTAGGATGGGTGTCTTCAATGTAATTATCATTTCCCCTGAAGGACATTACTTAGATACTTACATAAAGTCATAAGTGGTAAAACAAACGGCTTGGTGTGTGTGTGCATCAGAGTGTAGCAGGACTTGCTTCATTACTGACATACATCACAGGTTTGTACTGAAATGTTTTTCCATGACCATTCTCATCAGACTCTTTCTTATATATATATATATATATATATATATATATATATTCATGTCTAATATACAGAGCATATATTTTAACTATGCAGATCATAGTTAGCATAAAATAACTTTTTAAAAAACATTTTAAAAAAAAACATACAGACCCCAAACTTTGGGGTGTTCTAAAAGGTTTTCTTTAAGGGTTAGAGTTAGTCTCTAGTAATTATAATTAGCTTTATATAAAAACAATAGAAGTCTATGCTAAGTCCTCACTTAGCCAAGTCAACGTGGGTTTGAGTGTGTGTGTTACTGATTTCCCTCAGCTCCCCTATACCACTTCTGGCAGTCATGAACAGATGGCAGAAGTTATGTGCTGTAAGAAGTCCAACAAACACACACACAGAGTCATGTACACTTCTCCTTTACCACCCATGGAATGAACCTCTGCCTTGGCAATATTCCTGGTCCAACACATAGCATCCCACACACACATCCACAACAAACCAGTACTTGATGTGTCGCACAAACAGCAGTCCGTCCATCAATCTCCTCTGGATTTTGGTTAGATTTAAGCTTTGGCATAGCATCTTATATATTAGACTTCTCAGGAACATAGAGTACTCTATGATGGCTGCTCTCTCTCCTGGGATGCTTATAAATAGTTTATAAAGCATTAATAATGCATTAATGACAGTGTAACAAAGCTTATACCGCACACAGATCAGTTTGTAACTGAAAGTGATCAAGTGCTGTCTTAGTTAACAGTGTGCAAGCATTATAAACTGTTATAATGTTACACAAGGACAGCAGGCCGTAAGAAATTTTTGTTTTCAGTTATTAGCCGTTTATACTGTGTGATAGACTAAACAGTGTGTCACATGTTTAGGGGAATCTGTTTTTGTTTAAATTTTTGAGTTATAAATGGGTTTACTTTGCATATTCATGTTAATACACTCAGACTGTGTATGTGATTTGGGATCTTTCTGAGCAGCTGTTGCCAGTTGCTTCTGGGTATCATTGGCTGGAAGGAAGCAAGGCAGAGGATTAGTACTTTTCCTGCCCAGTAATAACCCCATCTCTCTCTCTCTCTCTCTCTCTCTCTCTCTCTCTCTCTCTGTCTGTTCTCTCTGAAAATGCTATATTTCTATTCAGACTAAAAGATGGAGTGGGTAAAGGGGGCAGTGCAGGGGCCATAGAGAGGTGATGTGTTTGTGTGTGTATTTGCTTGATCGCATGTGTTTCTTTGAGGGTAATTTGAGATCACAGAGTTGAAAGAGTAACATCTCACTCAGCTCATGTCTTATTCTGTCACCGTCACAATGATGTTATTTAACTTTGATCAGACAGTTAAGACAACTCATTTGGCTTTACAGCACATATTTAACAATACAACAATTTAGTATAGTGATAGACCCATTTATGTTGGCCAAAACGAGGAATCAGACAATGTTTGGCTATTTTGAGATATGTATGAGATTTTTTGATTTTTAGTTAAGCTTTATTTAAGGTGTCCTTGCTACAGTGTAATTATACAATTGAGTACTGAGTAATATTAATAACATGTACTTACTTTAGGGTTAAGGTTAGGGTTTGGTTTGGGTTAGTTGCTTGTAGTTGTGCATAATTTAAAGTGACGTGACATGTTGTCCCATACTCGGAATTTGTGCTCTGCATTTAACCCATCCGAGTGCACACACACAGCAGTGAGTAGTGAACACACACACTGTGAACACACACCCAGAGCATTACTACTGTACATGTAAAGTGTAACAAGGACACTGTAAAATGAAGTGTTATCAAATATTAAATTTAAAGGATGTCACCGAATATTCAAAATTAGGGTGGGATCAAATGCAAAAGTACCACTAATGTGAATATTGGGGCGTGTCCTAATTAATTAAACATTTAATCAAGAACAAGCCTAAATTTCCACTCAAATTAAACACTTTTTTATGTTCAAAATAAGTTTTTGTTAACCCTAATTCTGAGAAAATTACTTCAGAGACAAAACTGGATCTGGATAAAGAAGTTTGTGAAATATCCAAAGATATACCGACGTTACTTTAGATTAAGAGCATGTGGTTGTTCATTTTACAAGCTGCTGCAGTGTGTTTTGAGTGTGTGTTCTGTACAGTGTGTAGGGTTTGAAACTAGGCCAGTTCGTCTATGGAATGACAATTAAGATGGTCCGGTCCCTGTGTGTTTGTTACAGTGTGTTTGTTTCAGTGTGTGTGTGTGTGTGTGTGGCTCTTTGAGTGTGTAGACATGTGAATGTGTTGGAAAACCTTTGAAAGAATGTTTTAGGACAAAGATTAAGACAAAGATATATATATATATATATATATGTGTGTGTCTGTGTGTGTGTGTGTGTGTGTGTGCAGAGTTTGGCTCAGACTCTGGATGGGCTCTGGATGTTCAGAACATCCAGCTTCCGTTACTAATTAGCACACTGATGCGGGAGGGTTTGTGTGTGTGTGTGTGTGTAGAGAAGGCTTTCTGGATGCAGCAGCTTTCTTAAACCTTCCTCAGGGACACACCGTCATACACACACACACACACACACGCCTCAACAGGACAGAATAAAAGAGGTAACAAGCTGCAAACTCTCCTCTGCCCAACTCTCTTTCTGTCGTAATCCTAATCACTGATCGTGTCTTTCTCTCTTTCTCTCTTGCCAGTCTCATTCAGAGGTGGATCCGGGTCAGAAACGTGACGTTTTTACATCCGGCATCTGCAATTCACACATACAGTGGATGCAGACTTCAACTTTAGAAAGATGCTTCTTTAATGCAACAAGATTGGATAATGTTGCAACGGAGGGAGCGGAAAGGAGATTGTATGCGAGAAGTGTGTGTGAGACTGTATGCATGAATGTGTGTTGTTCAGTCTGAAGGTCAGACGACAGTAGGGGATGTTGACTGAGTGTATCACGCCAAACGGCTGAAAGCAGCGGGAAATGGCAAAAGAGCAGACTGGCACAGCTCAGGTTGGTGTGTGTGTGTGTGTGTGTGTGTGCAGACTCTCTATACTCCCCCCTCATTCTCTTGTTTTAACGTGTCGTTTTTTTGCAACAACCAAAACAAGTAAAACCAGAGACTGTTAGTCATACACACATTTATCACATGCTGTCAGCTGTATGTGTGTGTGTGTGTGTGTGTGTGTGTGTGTGTGTGAGTGTGTGTAAATCTTTTTTTTTTATTCTAAAATTGCAAAATGCTTACATATACACTACTGTCCAAAAGTTTGTGGGTTTGAAAGATATTAATACCTTTATTTAGCAAGGACACATTAAACTGATGAAAAGTCATTTATACTGTTACAAAAGATTTCTGTTTCAAATAAATACTGTTCTTTTGAACTTTCTGTTCATCAAAGAATCCTGAAAAAATATTAAGCAACACAACTGTTTTCAACGTTGCTAATAATAAGAAATGTTTCTTAAGCAGCCAATCAGTATATTAGACTGTTTTTTTAAGGATCATGTGACACTGAAGACTGAAGTAATGATGCTGAAAATTCAGCTTTGCATCACAGGAATAAATTACATTTTAAAATGTATTAAAATAGAAGACAGTTATTTTTTATTGTAATAATATTTCACAATATTACTGTTTTTACTATTTTTGATCAAATAAATGCAGCCTTAGTGAGTGTAGGATACTTCAAAAAAATTGAAAAATCATACCGACCCCAAACATATGAACAGAAGTGTGTAAATAATTGGATTTATTTCTTATATAACAAAGATTATATTGAAAGCTAACAGACATCTAAGATGCGTTTTCATTAAGTCAACCAAATGCACACACTTTATATTAAACACACATACACTACTTTTAAATTAGATGTAATAACTGCTATTTTCTGATTACTGCTAAAATGCCCTTCTCACACAAACACACACAGAGTGTTAACCTGTTCGTTTCAGTCAAATATATTCCAGCAACTGCTGTGTTGCCCATGGCAGCAGGTTTTAAATCACATCTCACATATTACCCTGCACAACTCTAGCAAAACACAAAAAAACCTTTCATCTTTTCTGCATGATCAAAGGAAACTGTCCTCAATACATGCAAGTGCGTGTGTGCTGAATATAAAACAGTGCTTGAATCTACAATGATTATGAAAATACATGAAGCTGATTATAGAGTGAATGTATGATTACAGGCTGTGGAGGACGGTAGCGTTGTGGTCACGAAGGTCAGGATATTGGTTCACATCCGGGATGGTTGACCACTGCTGAAATCTAGTAATCTAGTTTTGCCTTTTGCCTTTAGCCAATCAGTGTTGTCATGATGTCATCCCGTGGCACCAGAGTGATAAGTCACATGATATTTACGGCTCAAAACCAGCAGATATCCAGTCACATACTTCAGCCAAGCAACTGCCATTGAAATGAATGGACAGCAGACAGCAGATACATACTCTGCATTATGAATTTCAGAGCACAGTGGCACATGAAATGAGGCTTGCGTAGCCTAACCGTGTCAACGGGGTTTGTGAGTCTTCATAAAAGTCTCACCTGATCTGTGGTCCTCAAGAGGTTTCTATATCAGCCTTGTAAAACCTCAGCGCTCACACTGGCTCTATTCTCCACACACCTCCTGGGAAATATGGGAACACACAGTAGCCATTTATGATATTTATTTATAACCCCTTCCCCCACGCACATTAGTGTCTTTCACTGGCCCAGCATATGTTACACAAACGCACATAAACATCTCACACACTCCCTCTCTTTCACAGGATATAGAATAGACACGCACACACACAGCGGCATTTATTCACTGAAGGAGCCGCCGTCTGATGTCAGCACTGTGGTGCCTCTGGATTTGAGTGGTATAGGGGGAGAAAGAGGTACAGAAATGACTGAAAGACAAGATGAAAGGTAGAAAAAGGGGACGGAGAGGCAGATGTGGCGGCGTCAAGAGTGAAACACACAAGAACTGATATGAGAAGTGATCAAAGAGATATTAACACTTCACGAGGCCTCCAGACAGCCTCAGATGGAGTTGTGTTTTTGGACTTTGCACTTAACAGAGCGTGTGTATGCGTTCACATGTAGTGGGCGATCTATAATTCATACACCCCGATTCTGTATTCCACTCAAGCTTAGTCTTGTCTGCAAGTCGTCTGCCAGCACACTCCTGACCTTATACACACACACACGCAAGCACAACACCTATCGAATATATCAATCCTTTGTAAGTCTGTCACCGCTCTACCTGGAGATGAACGTCACTTTGAAAAGAGAGAATGAAAGAGTGATAGAGATGCTACAGAAAGACAACCAGGTTTTATGGAGGTGATGGAAAAAAAAGAGAGGGAAGTCTGTCGGAATATTTATTCCAGCATGTTGCATTTCTGTGTCTCAGTGGGGTCTCCATGCCGCTCACCGGAGAGGTTAATAATCATATTTGTTTATTTTCTCCTGGTGTGCGTTTCTATGATTTTTAGATCCGTCTCTGAGTAAAAATTTAAGTGATTTATTATTATTATTATTATTATTATTTATGTCTGTCAGACTCTACTAGATGCAAATGACAATAGTAACTATGTTAATTCAGGGTTCCATTGCCGTGCTGGTAGATTATGGCACTAGCAACGCTGAGGTCATGGGTTTGACTCCCAGGGAATTTACAGAAACATACTTTGTGCATTTACCCAAATACAGATGCAAATGCTTGACCAATACAGTAGCACTTTAGATAAGGGAACACATATTCACTATTAACTAAGAGTTTTCCCTCAATGAACTCCCAATTAGCTGCTTATTGATTGTAAAAAGACGCTATAGTAGATTTAGGTATTAGGTAGGGTTAAGAAATCTAGAATATGGTCATACAGAATAAGGGATTAATATGTTCTTTATTAGTACTTATTAACAGACAATATGCTAGTAATATGCATGCTAATAAGCAACTAGTTAATAGTGAATAGTGTTCACTAATGTTCACTATTGAACATACTTCAAGTTGGCATGAAATGGAAATTCACCCTATTTTCTAAATGCATCTTATTGATTTTATTGTGAACAATTCGTCAATAAATATGTTTCATTTTTAACATTTTGTATGACCCTTTTTAATCAAAATGTTGATCTTCAGATGAAACGACAGACTTCTCTCTGGTGACGTATGCTGGACTTCTCTGATCACTTTTTTTTTTCTTTTTTGATAATCCGTTTCACTCTGATGTCACAATACTGAAGAAAACATGAACTTCCATCTTATCGCAACTTTAACATGCATTCTTAATGCAAACAAATCTCAAGAGTGCATATGAGAGTCCATTAAAAACACGTGTAAATTAAATTAGCAATACCTGAAATGTCAATTTGCTAAAATTGGCTTCAAACTGTTGCAATGCCCTGACAGTAGTAAAATCGAAAAAGAAAACTTTCTGAATTGTGCTCAGACAAATTTTGGAATGCAGTGACACGACACATTTAACATAGCCTGACTATATAGAGCAATAAGTACCTTCAAGTCACTTTGGATGAAATATCTGCATAAATCTAATTTCATCATCAATACTTTCATTCACTGCAGATTGAATTTACTCCATTAATACATCTCTCTCTGTTTTCTCTCTGTTAGATTGGGTGTCGAGTGAGGTGGAAGTGTTTCTGGAGGACTACGTGGCAGGAGTCGGGGACACCGTGGATCTGTCCTGCACACCGCGTGACTTCCTGGTCCCCATCGTGTGGCAGAAAGATGGCGACGCCGTGTCTCCTAGCAACCGTACACGGGTGGGGCAAAAAGTGCTCCATATCATCAACGTCTCCTATGAAGACTCGGGGGTGTATTCCTGTAGACACACCCACAGCAGCACGCTGCTAAGCAACTACACCGTCAGAGTCACTGGTCAGTCTCTCCGAATAATATTTAAGTAGTGTTGTCGTTATTTTAGTACAGCAGACTGGGGTGCACAAGCTCAGGCATGCAAAGCATTAATTGGAAACTCGCCAGTCAGACTCATTCCCAACAGGCAAACAGGTCTTGAGACATACTCCCAGCACACACCTTCCTACAGGATGACTTGACGTTTATCAAACAAGCATAATAACACACACTCGAAGGCAGAATGTTAAATAGTCTACATATTGTTTAATATTCCACATGGACTGAACAGGATTGTTTTAGACTGTGACAAGGGCTTTACCTACTTTTAAAAATGAGGGAATTACATAGGGCCTCCTTGGAAAGGTACAGTGGAAAATGGCATATTTCAGTCCCTACAGATTAAAATCATTGTGAAATATTCTTAAATAAACACTAGAGTTGTTGTTTGTCTGTGCGTCACATGTGGCCCATTGAGCCGGCCAGTCAGGTATTGTTATCTTTTACTATACAAACAAGTGTCACTGACTATGTTTAGAATGGAATCTGAACACTGCTTACTATGTAGTATACACTATAATGTCTATTTTATTATCATTTAAAAATAATGATACAGTATGCATTATACAATGCTACACATTTCAAATGGCAGCATGCTACATTACTGACACATGATCTGAATTCAGCGAGTGCTGTTTACTTATAGGCCTAATGATAGAACTAAAAAAAAAAGTATTAACATTTTATAATAGGAACATTTGTTTATTAAAATTAAATTAACAATTTTAAAAATAAAAAAGTTAATATTTTAAATAATGTACAAATATTTGAACATTTGAAAACTGCCTTTGATATTACATTGAGTTCAGTTTGGCTAATGTAATGTCGATGCATACTGAAAATTTGCCTGATTTGCACAGTATACATATTAAATACTAGTAAGAGAAGTATGATATTATGCTATTCTGAACATCTTCATACTGTAACAAAAAATATCATTAAACTCTTAAGACAAACAGACATTGCATAATAGAATGAATTGTTTTTGTGTGACGTGTGTGTGTGTTTGTAATGTGTTATGTGTGTGTGTGTGTGTGTGTGTGTGTGTTTAAACGGTAGTGTGGAGTGATCTTTGGTTCTGTAAACTCGTGGACACAAGATGAGCTGCTCATTGGCAACTAATTAGAATGTAATTATATGGAATCACCTCATCATTTAAAGCAGATGGAAAAAGTAAGTGCGTGGGGAGTTTTTTTTTTTTCCGACATGTGTTTGGCGTTAGGCCAGGGCAAATCGGCTCTCCTTCTCGCCAGCGTCTGGAGAAAGACAGAAAAAAAAGTAAAAACTATTAATTAGATGAGAAATGTAAAATAATGAAAAAAAGGAAATAATAAAATAATGAAAATCAGAAAAACTGAGAACAGCTTGAAACATTAAGATCTCTTCAGTTACTGTTAACTAAAACTAAAACTATTAAAAATAATAACTGAAATCAAGCTAAAATTAAATAAAATATCAATATTAGATGAAAAACAAAAATTGGACATTTTGCCATTAAAACTTAAGTTTTAAAACTAAAACTGAAATAAAAATAAAGGTTAAATAGATTTTTTTTTTAAACTAATAAAACTAACTAAATCTGTTTTAAAGTGAAAAATGATTAAAACAATCTAATTGAAAATATAAGTAAATACTATTATAGTACATAAATAATACTAAAATAATACTGAATCTCTTTTGAAACTCTACATGAGACACATAAAAGATTAGTGGCATCTTATTCTGAGGGAGAACAATCTGAGATTCAGGAGACTTTTTCCGTTTTATCTTTATTTCATCTCATTGTTTTGTAGGAGAAAAAACTGAGATTTGAAAGAGATCTTATTTGTGATTTTTCACAAAGAAAGAAAGAGAGAGGGAAGGAAGGAAAGGGAAAGCTGCTGTGGTGGGATCGGGGTTGGGGGAGGGTTGAGGGGTTGAGGGGAGGGCATGAAACGAGGGATTAAGCAAAAACCCAAACCCCTTTAGAGTTTAATGACCAGTAATCCAGCTCTAATTAAGAAAGAGAGAATGAGAGAGAGAGAGAGAGATCAGCACACTGGAGCTGAGAGCTGTGAGGTCTGGGCTCTCTGGAACATTTGAGAAGAGCTGAGGTCGTGTGACATCTGATGACATCATTCTGTAATATCTTAATGATGCAGTGCTGGTTACTGCTCTCAGTTTGGCTGACTGAAGCAGGCTGTGCATAATATCAGCTGTGTAGAGTTGCGCTATACTTTGATGGCTTTTTTGGCTGTAGAATAAAAGTAAATGGAAAAAAAAGTTGGGTCACTGTAGATTCGCAGTTCCCACTTCAAAGCTCAAATTGTCTGTACTGAACTCTATAAAATGGCAAACCACACACACACACACACACAAACACACATATAGGAGCCAGGTCCACTGTTGGATACAGACCCATGTTGTGGTCCTGACGGATCACTGACCATCTGAGAATGCAGTGAAAATTGGAAGATGTGTGTGTGTGTGTGTGTGTGTGTTTAAACGGTAGTGTGGAGTGATCTTTGGTTCTGTAAACTCGTGGACACAAGATGAGCTGCTCATTGGCAACTAATTAGAATGTAATTATATGGAATCACCTCATCATTTAAAGCAGATGGAAAAAGTAAGTGCGTGGGGAGTTTTTTTTTTTTACCGACATGTGTTTGGCGTTAGGCCAGGGCAAATCGGCTCTCCTTCTCGCCAGCGTCTGGAGAAAGACAGAAAAAAAAGTGAAACGGGCACAGAACCTGCACCAATTATTGCATGCCGATAAAGAGTCCACAAGACAGCAATATCCTGTTCTGCACACTTTAACACAAGACATAGCTACCAGACACATTGACAGACAGCAATACACAACAGAGCTTTACAAAGATAGTTCATACAAAAAAAAACATCATTAATCACCCATATTCATTCCAAACCTGTTTGAGTTTCTTTTGTCTGTGGAACATAAAAGAATATGTTTTACAGAATGTTCAAGCTGCTGTTTTCCATATAATGAAAGTGAATAGGGACTAGCTTGTATGCTATATTCCGAGTCTTCTAAAGCTTCGTGTTAGGAGCATACAGAAAATGAAAATGTTCTTTGCTTTTCATGGTCTCGCGTATTTTCTGATAATGTACCGCTAAATGCTCCACACCAGGTTTGACATCAATGACATCATTTGTTTGCATGGGTTTTGTCATTGACGTCTTTACAGTTTTTAACTTTTGGGTGTACTAATCCTGTAACACCACAGAACAACAACAAACCATTAGAACTTAAAACATTTTACAAGACAAACCTTCAGTAGCCGCTGAAGACGGTTAAGCCACAAAACATGAAAATATAGCATAAATCTGATGGTTTGGTGCAGCTAACACTGTGAAAGCCCTACACAGAAAGCTTCAGTGTCCCAGTAACAGCATATCTTTAGCACTAAATAGGCCTAGTGTTGGATTTCACGCTCCGCTGGTATTTTAGGAGTGTGTGCTGTACAGTTTTACCTGTGTAAATCTTCACAGAGGAGGTGCTGAAGACAGAATAATCTCTTTTTTAGGGTCATAGCGTTTTTTTCTCCCTCTGAATGAGTTCATTGAGAAGCAGGATACAAGAGTGTGTGTATTTCAGGACGTGTGTAAAAATACAGCTGTTGTCAGAACTCACTGAATCTCTGCTAACATCTGCCATCCATTAACCGCTGTGTATGTGAGTGTTTGAGGGTGTGTGTGTGTGTGCAGTAATTGGTTTTGATTTGTTATCAGTTTATTTTCCTCATTCTGCAGATCATATGAATTGGTTCATTGTTCATACAGAAAGGCCACTGTGCTGTGTAGTAATAAGATCGTTCTCTCTCTATGTCTTTCTTTCTCTTTTAGACTCGCTGTCCTCTGGTGATGATGAGGACTATGATGAAGATGAGGACGATGCAGGTAATGGAAATGGTGTGTTTCACCCTCTTATTTCTCATTTCAATCCTCTTTTTTGATTGAGATTTCATGAGGTCTCTCTGTTGTGTAATAAATGCATGAGATTGTTGTCTTTTCTAGCTGGGGTTAGGTTGCATCTCATTTCATCAGCTGCTTTTTTCCCCCACTTGATACTAAAACACAAATTCTCACAAGAAATCAAGAGAGAGGAAGGGAAAAGAAGAGAAACAGCTTAAAGTCTAACAGCGTCAACTGAAATGTGACTAAAAATTATAGAAAATGCCACAATATCTTTGACTGTGTATAACAAATAAAGAAAGAAACAAGAGGAAGATTTCATTTCTCAATGTTTTAGTGTTGGTAAGTTCTCATTTCAGTGACCCGAATTGATTTTTTTAAATATATTTTAGACACATTTTGATAAATGTCTGTGCAGGCAAATATGTGTCAGTATAGCGAGAGAATCAGAATCACTGGCTCTGTCCATATTTCAAAAAAATATTAAATAAAATAGAGAGAAATGAGAACATGTTTATATACAGTTTGT